ATAGACTATAAAAAAAACGAAAACGAAAATTAAGAAGCCGGTCTGGCCGCCTGCATGTGTTGTATACGCAAGGAATAAGGGTGTGAGTGTAAGTGTGGAGTGTGGGTCTGGATGTGGTGGGTGTGGCTGTGAGGTATGGCTATTTTGTGAAAAGAAGACTGACATCCACATCCACACCCATACCCACACACCCACCCACACTCACACCCACCCACACCCACAGCCTTGACGAGAATAGTTCATGGTAAAAATTTCAGATGTTTTGGTTGTAATTTAATTGAAATACGGATATTAGAAAAATTAGACAGACTATATATGCTATCCCATAAAATTTCACAAAACTAAGCTTTCACAATTTTTCGCAGGCATGTTCAAATGAGCTGAAATTTTGAATTTAGAGCTTTTTCGGCACGGGCTTTCATCTGAAATACTTAGATTGAGCATTTGAAAATAAATCATTAGTCTTCATAGTGAGAATCGGACCCGAAATTTTGCCTTTCTAGTCTTGTTCAAGAAATTTTTGCTCCCAAAGTTCATTTCCACCAACTTTTGAAAACGTCATTCGATGCAGTTTGATGTACTCTTTCGGATGGTACTGTTTTCAATTTATTATAGGGCTCTGATTTGACCAATTGGTCCTATGGACTGGGATTCTGTTGTTTGAAAATGACATATAGTATAAAGCAAACATTATCCTACGATAAGATACTTTTGATACCATCAAAAGATAGCCCATGGTCAATAGTATATATGGTAAAAAAATCTCGATTATACCTCTTGTCATTCTTTAGAAAATGGAAATTTGCTGAAACATTTTGCGCTGAAAGGTACTTCAAAAATAGCCTACCCCTCATACTTGCAACGTCTATATCTTCAGACTGGCTATTCCGTTTGAGGCGAAATTTTCAGTTTCTTTCGAACTTTGTTAGACCTACCTACTATAAAAATACCAGCCAAATTGGTGATATCGATTGAGCAACGTTCTGCAGGAATTGGTCGTGGCTTAGGTGCAATGCCTCCTAGACAGTAAATAAGAGCATTGAATATTTGCATTAGAGTATAAGAGAGCTAGATGTAAGCTCATCAACTTTATAAAAGCACCAGCTAAAGTCCTGCTACTTTCTGCAATCCAAAGAGAAAAATTCCAGACACATTTTGTCCGATAATATGTAAGACCATGTTATTTCAGAATCGATTATGCTCACAAAATAGCTAAGTATTCCATTGTATGCAAATTTCGATAAAAAGTGAGTTATGTTCAGTTTTCTGAGAAAGCACATTTGTGAAATTGGGTGTGGGTGGGTGTAGGGATGTGCAGTTTCGGTGGAAACAGTGAATTACTGACAGTGATGCCACTGCACTGAGCGCACTGACTACAATGACACACTGACACTGGTGTTCACTGAATCAGTGCATATACTGACAATGATTGCACTGGTTCCACTGTCTGCACCGGCATTGGTGTTCACTGAGCAAGTGCATACACTGACACTGACTGCACTGCTCGTGACTTTATTTATAATTATCAATGGAATTAGCGAAATGACCATACCTATTCCGTGGACTTTGTAAAACTATTTGTATCGTTACGATTACTTAAATTTTTCGCTTTATTTACTCTTAGTGATGTTGTGCAACCCGAATACACTGAAAAAATGGTTCCATTCGATGAAAAGTTTTTGTTAATCCATATATTACAAGCGGAATATGTCGTCGTCTTCTGTGTATAAATTCTAGCCAATGAAAATCAGTATCAGTACGTCAGTGTTCCAGTATGCGTTAGTGCAACAAGCGCAGTCGGTGTCAGTGTATGCACTGGCTCAGTGAACACCAATGTCGGTGCAGACAGTGGAACCAGTGCAGTCAGTATCAGTATATGCACTGATTCAGTGAACACCATGTCGGTGTATCCACTGATTCAGTGAACATCATGGTGGTGCAGTCGCTGCAACCGAAATAGGCAGTGTCAGTGTCATCAGTGTACCGGTGAACGCCAGTGTGACTTTATCGGTGATCAGTATACTGAAACTTCACATCCCTAGGTGGGTGTGGGGTGTGTGGGTGTGGGTGTGGGTTTGTTCTTCTTCTATCATCGATACCCACACTCAACTCCCACTCACACCCACACCCACACCCACACCCACACCCACACCCACACCCACACCCACACCCCCACCCCACACCCCCACCCACACCCACACCCACACCCCACACCCATAGATGGTACATTGGTAATCCAAAGGAATAAGT